AGCACCGTGAACATCGGTTCGCGTACAGATACGCATCGGGTTAAACTCGTTACAAACATAACGCGATCCTCCCTTCGTTCGTCCTTACAGCATTCTATCTGTACTCATTCTTCCTCTCTTAACTGTCCGTTTAACGAGCGCAGGACGCAGAGCAATTATAACGCGTATCGCTTTCGTGGTCGACTTCTCGGTACGTATCTACCGGTCGCGAGTAAATCGGGCCGGAAACGAGTTTAGCGTGTTGGAGAAACGTCGGAAACAATCGATTGTCCGAGCACAAATGGCTCTAGGCCCGATGAACCTTCATGGGGGCATGCGCGCCACGTATACGCGGCTATCTTTATCTCTCGCTTCCTCTTTCATCGGTCGTTTCCCTCTCTCGTTCGCACCCTGTTCCGTTCATCGACGATCGAATCTTCTCCGATTAATCCTTACCGATATATGTAAAAATAAAATATTACTCGATCAAATATTAATTGATTATGAAGCTCTATAATAAGAAGATGAATTGTCAGCATTTTCAAAAGAAACTTAATAAGCTGTGTTTGCAGTCGAAGGATATTTTAGGGCTTGGTAAGTTTTACAGTCTCAAGAAACACGGTACCGAGTAAATAGCTCTTATCTATGACGATATTTACTATTTGTCTTATGAGTGAATTTCCAGGGTCTAACTAAAGTTTACTAGTTTTTACATGAATCATAGTATCTGTCCAATTTTTATCAAACTAATACAAACGTGTCATCACGTAAACGAATACATATGAGTATTTTCCGTGGAAATCGACCGACAATTTATTCAAAGATAAAGTTCTTCATAGTTGATAAGGAGTGGCGTCTTTTTATAAACTTATCAAAGTTATTTAGGTTTAGGCTCGTGCGTGCTCTTGAGTCGTCCGTAAGAACCTCAGGAAAAAAGCGAAGGCGCTGGATGAATTAGCACAGTTTCACGCGTTCCCGTGTCCCGCTAACTTTCGCACCGAAAAGCGCGTCTTGCCAAGAAAGCGTGAGAAGCGAATATTATATATGAGACACAGGGAATTCTTGTTTCAGTTCTTTTTATAACCCAGATTCGCGTATTAGCGTCTCGCGTCTCGATGTATTCAAGCGTCTCTTGTACACCTTCGAAAGTGGCCTCTTCCTTCTCTTTTGTTTCGCAACGCTCTATGCAAATCGCCATGCATCCTTTCAAGGACTTCCAATAACCCGATGAATATTCAAACGCGCACCATAAACTCGGCTATTCAACTTCTTTTTCTACCGTAAAATTACAATATACTCTTTGTTAAGAACCTCTATGTGTCATACATTTAGATACATTTGTCAAATAATCTTGTAAAGATGTAAAATTAAATACATCTGCGCGATAAAAAGAATAAATAAATAAAAAGGGAAAAATCCAAGTTGCTTCTAAATGTAGATGATAAACGAAGTGCTAGCACACTTGAGGCACCATAAAGAATCTTAAAATACGCGGCGAGATTTTCCCCAGATTTAACACGGCTCAAGAAAACACGAGCTCGTAACACTTGATGCGGCGCACCCTACATAATCCCATCTTAAGAAAATAAATACAATGTACAATAACAGAGATTGTGTCTTCGATTTCTATGGTATAATTATCCAGCCTTAAACAAACCTGCAGTTGCATCTTCGACAAAGAGTAGCGAAGAGCATTTTAATGAAACGAAGGAAACATTGCACTCCTTTAGAATCTTAATGCTGTATCTATTACAAGATTAACGTTGATTTAAATGCACGCATGTAGTAGCTGCTTCATGGAAAGAAGAATAGATATAAAGATATTTATCACAAGATCTGCGATGATAGAAAGCATTTCTTGGAAATTACGAGCACATCGTTTATACCCGATGTAAAATTGGTCAACTTGGCCAATTGATTCGGGCCACTCCATGCGTTATTTATACCTATCTTGGTAATGATTAGTTCAATAGGAACTTCCTCTGTATTACCTGTGACCTCTTTTGTTCCAGTTCTACTATTTTACTATTCGAACGAGCGATCATTACGAACAGTTAATCATGGATACATTGTGTATGGGAATACAATTTACATATAATTATTTCTGAATTATGACGAGATTCAAACGGAAGAAACAGAAGACGATCGAATGAGCATGAAACGAGGAAAAACAAATTCTAGAGTACCACATAAATATTTTGATTGAACAATTGTAGATTACAAGAATAGAACATTCCATGGAGTGATCCTCGATGAGTATACGATATGATACTTTCATGATCGAGGACTGAAAATCGCAGGCCGCTATTAGATAATCTAGAAGCGTGTACCGGAAATGGAGGCGTCGGTAACACTTGACAATCGCGACTGATAAATTACATAAAGCTCAATCTGGGCGTCTAAAAATAATTCACAATTGGTCCGAAAAGATCAACCAGGCGGAACATCTTTCGCATTCCATCTAAACCTGTCTACGGAATCTGTATTAAAAAACAGGTTTCTACTCTTGTTCTTTATATTCAAAAACGATTTATCGAAAATTGCAAATGTGACAGCTGAATGCTGTGAACGTCTTGTTTACCAGCGATAAACAGTCGCGACAAGAACTAGAAAAATATTGATCTCCGGAAATCTGCTTTTCGAAGCGTCGTCCCTGCGAACATTTATCTGTGGCTCCCTTTCGGGGAAAAGTGTATATGTACAACAGATGTTGTCGAAAACCCCAACGGCAGTGGCGGCCAGATGAAAAAGAACGCCACTGCGTGTAACAGTTAGTAAAAGAGAGAGCGAGGGGGACGGAAAGATTCCCAAAAGTGTTTCAAAATGTGGCGACCACCATGGGTCGGAATTCCATTCGTTCCAAACGTGCTATAAAGAACATCCAGAATGCTTTTGTTCCTCGACCTCAAATTTCCTGATTTTCGTTTATGAAAAAACATGTTCATCCTTCATAGAAATTTAAATTAGAAAATCAAAGCAACTATTTTTCAAAGAACTATCTAAAATTCATATGCGATATTTCTCGCGGATGAAAAGGGTTCATTCGCGACCTGTCTGCGTTCGAAATGAAATTTCGTGCCGGTCGTAATAACTGAAAAAGCTGCGCACAATGTTGTTACAGTGCGTTGTACTCGCTTCGCATACAAGCTCAGCAATGAGACTGTCCCGGAATTATTTATCGTTCGTTTCGCGACCCGTGACCAATATTGTCCCTCACTCGACGACATAAATAAATCGATGCAAAAAAACGCGCGCAAACAGCCGCAGAGATAGCGCGTAGAAGCAAACTCCAACTCCTATTAATAAATCCTTCTTTATACAATGCTGGATTAGAATCTTAAAAGCTTCATTATTAATTTACAATCTTGAATGAATGATCAATGAACTAATAAATGTGACAAACGCGATTTATAATTCTTTAATGAACTTGACTTTGTGATTGTAAAATAAAGTGAAGTCGCAAGTTTTCATTCTCGAAATGTCATTAGACTATGTAAAATTGCTCTTGTAACTTTGATCGCGTTGGATATTTTTTTGAGGAATCGTGATATACATCGTCTAGTTAAATACTACGCGTATAACCCGAGGACGAACAGGCGTCTGTTACGCGTCCTTCCAACCCCCCGTCGAAAAACAGGGACGCGCAGGACCGAGCCACGGCGACGCGGTGCACACGGGGGCATTTCGGTCTCCGCTGTTCAAGTTGGAAGCCCTCCAATACGCTTCGCAGCCTCGGCCCCCACGCGAACCGCTGAAACCCGTTTTAAAAGTCCGCAGGAATGCATGCCGCCGGTCGGGCCTTTCACCTCTTTCGCGAGAAAATGTATTTTCATGCTTTTGCGATCGCGTGCGCCCGTCATCCGGCCTCGGGTTGCTGGTTGATGAATATGGAACTTCGAGACAGAGAAAGGAGCAGAAAAAATATCAAAATCTTGTTTCTCGTTCCCGAAACGACGGAACACGGTTTCAAATGCCAAGAGATACGTTTTGGAAAATTGTAATGCAATTATAATAACAATCAAAAAGTAGAATACTTCTCTAATTGCAACTCTTTCCTTGGTTACTAATACATGGCGCATCATGACGAGTGCTAGGTTTTGATAGAGCGTAACAGGTTTAATGTTCCGCTGGATTGAGCTGACGAGTGTATATGTATACCTTACATATCGTGTAATGAGAATAAGATTCTTGTATGTTTAGCTATTACGTGCACGATTACATGTTCGAGCTTCGACCCCATCGATAGAGACGTGGACGCGTTATCATCGCTTGTCGAAAAACCCGGATGTAAACATTACACTATCTATAAATATTTGTCCCTACAATTGAAATTAGGCTACTGTCGATTAATATATTTCTCCTTATCGAGGGCAGGATTTTGGTATGACTCATAAATTTAAAATGAAGGAAGAGATTCCGTGCACTCGATTTGTACCAAATGCACTACGATTCGAAAAATGCATGCAAGTGTCACTACATAGCTTTTGGACAAGAGATCGATATCATGCTAGAGGCTTTCTACAAATCCACGAAGAAAACCGTGAAGAAATAAAACGATCGATACGGTAACTTTATCGAATCCATGATTGGAATAAAATCATGACTGTACAAGAAGCAACGAAAAACGATCGAAAACGGTGTTGAAAGTGCATTTAAACATTGCTGCGGGCGCACAAAGGTTGACAAGAGTCGCCATTTTGAAATAATTGGTAAAGAATTCCGCTTTTCTATCGTTTTTTCTTAGCCGACCATTCTCGTCGGTTCGATAAAAACGTATGCATACACTCGAGAGTGGGCGATCGAGGCTTTGCTGGATCCAGAAAAGTCAAACAGATGCGTCCCCAGTTACCCGAAAGAAACACGACGCCTAGGGTACGTACAATCTCGGGTGCATTGTACTCGAATCGATCTCTTCTATCTCTGTCTGCTGTTCGTAGTAGGAGTTTCGAAATTCGAATCGATCCTCGACGTACGCTCAAACGTCGACGATAGTAAACGAGATCAAGGAAAAGTGCACTTACCTCGTACTTGATGCCGTTGAGCCGTAACCATGTCTCCACTTTGAGACAATACGGCGAGATGGAGGGCAAAAGTGGCGTCCGAGAGAACTGATACAGATAAACAACGTCCTTCTCGAAGTTGGTCTTGTGCACGTTGATGGCTTTGGTCGGCGCCGAGGATGGCGTAGCCGCCGCGGCGTCGGCGGACTCCTCTTTTTTTCCACTTTCCTCTTTCTTCGCCGCGTCCTTCTCTTCTTGCTTATTGTCCGGCGGGGTTTCGTCCTTCATCGCCTCTTTCATCTCCTTCACGTCCTTAATCTCCTTGCTCTCCGGTCCGGTGTTCTCTGTCTCCGTTGCCATCGTCATCCTGGCTAGTTTTCACAAAAGGATCCCGGCAACCGGTCTTTCTGTCAGCGAAAACGAGAAAACGCTTCGTATACGGGCGAACAAGCGTCGAGGGACAAGTTTCTCGAAGCGGACACTTGGGAGACTATCTCTCGAGGACAGCGCGCACCACACAAACGTACGCCGGGTACTCGTCGATCCCTCTGCTTGCCGGCCGGTTCCTTCTCGTCGCTGCCCCGTTCTGTCCCTGTCCGCGGCTCCTGTTCCCCCAGCGGAAAGCGACGCCGCGCATGCGCCAGCGCCACACCCCGCTGGCGTCGCCATATTTAATTGGCCCGCCACCCCTGCCCGGACCGCGTGCCGCACGTTTCCTCTCTGTCTGCCGAGCGCCATTTCTACCTTTCTCCCTTTGTCTAACTTCTCTCCTTGCCCCCCGCGGAAACCCCCATGAACCTGGCTCGCCTTCCATTTCGCCGTGGTTAGACTCGCCTGGCAACACTGCCGCCACCACCACCTCAAGAGGACCGAACAAACACGCAACTATGTATCTGGGTACCCAGGGTCAAAAATATCCTGTAGATTGTTCTATAATCCTGTATAGATTTCTTATTTAAATTTATCTGGATTATCGTTTAACTCGCGTTAATCGATGCAACTAATTTGATTCATAATTGATATTTTTAATGACACTGTAAAATCTAATTGCAAATGAAACGTCCCTCTCGAGCGTTAGGCAAGGGACCCGAAGTATGTTAGGTCCTGCGCCAACCCGGCAAGTCGCTCATAGGAAATCGGCAACGCTGCATCAGACCGGCGTAACAACGAACCCCTTTTCACGGATCACTTTTTTCCACTCTCTGGCCTGTAGACTCCATTTGGAAAACTACCTGCTGTGGTTTGCGCCGCCCATGCACGCCAGCCTCTCCCCGAAACCCACTATAGTACGTCCTTGTTCTTCGCTTTTGTCTTCGCGCCCAAGCATCCTTTCACTCTCCGTCTCCCTACTTTTCATCTTTCTTCTTCGTTCGGACTATCGTTCGGAGATTGTTAAGTCTATAAGAGGGATTACGTTTTCCCTGTACTAAGTACTAGATACCGCTTCGGTTGGGAATCGTCAACAGGCCATAGGTAGACCACCAAGTCCCCTTGTCTCGAAGCGCGAATTAACCGACGTAATCCCGATTTATCGAAGAGAGGAAAAGACAAATCGGTAGTATTACATACTAAACGTTATACAGACGGAAAGTAGGGATAGATCTCCAATAGAAAAAATGTATTAACTATATATAGGATCTAAATGTTTAAATACAGGATGGAGACAAGTATTTTAAAAGTGAATAAAAATTTATTTACTCCTGATGTTATAATATTCCCCATAATGTTCATGACAAATTCGTATCGTTGTCCATAGTGTGCGTGTCATTTGCCGGATGATCTTGTATATAACAATTGGAAAAATTTCTAACAAATGCTTCTTGTAATACAATTTAAGTTCGCCGAATGTATACAATAATATTTATGTACGATTCATAGTAATAAGATACCGAAGTGTATTATGTATTCAGAGTCGTTGTATTGTAGAATAACGAATAGAGTTTAACAATAGTTTCACGAGATACAAACGCGTAGTACGGGACAAATGAAAAATTATTAATAAGCTATACTTTATTATTCATCGCTCGCGTATCTTTCGAGCTAAGAAAGAAGTTCCGGTACCTCCCCTTTGTCGACAAAAGTTGCTGACCAATCGATTGTTGCCGATAAATTTGTAAACGGATTATTAATAATCTTAATCGGGATTCAGAGAAAATACTGCGTAATTATGTTCCGATTAAAGAATTCAATTTTCAACGACGAATGTTAGATATTACGTATCGTCTGAGTAGGTATTCCGACGAACATTGATTGACGATAGCGACATATTTAAGATATGAAGAATTGCAGACAAGTTTTATGTTTCATACACAGTAGCAGGGGTATAATATTTCACGTTACAAATTATATTACAGTTCTTCGTACCAAACCATTGAATAATATGCTCGAACGCTTACAAGGAATCGATTGATTCACTGATCTCCGTAAATAGCCGCGCATCAATCTCGATCGTTATACTCGACAAGCAATATAATATATGCTCGGTAAAAAAGAAGAAACATAGATGAAACATTTCACGTACATTCTCTGGTCAATTGTTTAAAACAACAAATATTCTTGTATACACATACATATCACAATTCTTTCATGTTCAACACAGAAGTTTTAATTAAATTATTTATACAATTCTTAGACTTTAATGATCCGCAGGTTAATCGCATTTTTTGTTTACTAATTGCGATACTATTTACGAAATTATATTACTAATTATGAAATGCTTTGCGTTAAAGCTAATTTTTAGATAATCACACATCCATTAATGCAGGAGAGATTTTTGACCGATATTCTCTATATTCGTTTTACATAATTAAATCCATTCGGTTGGAACAATATCAGGCAGTATCGAAATTATTCGTAACGATTCTCCTTCTTTTTTTTTTAGATGAAAGAAACATGTTGATATATCTGAAAAGATGAGAAACTAAGCCATTCTTAGTAATAAATTTGAGCTTGTGCCATTAAGCGTTACTTTAGCGTACCTCTAATTCATTAAAAATTAGGTAGTCTGCTACGCGGAATGGTTCTTTAAAAATTTCATACTCTGTAAGAGCAATACGATGTATCGACTCTCTACTTTCTCATTTTGCTGAAAAATGTTGAATCGCTATGGGGAACAGTTCAAATATTTAAAAAAATAGTCAATTAACGAATAGTTAAAAGACTGAATGTTAAAATGTCAATAATTTTTGTCTTCCCCAACAATATGAAGCTAGATTTTGCAACAATAATAAATTACTTTTTTTATTTCATTTTTACATAACATAGCTGAAAAGCGTATGAAAAAGTGAATGTTGAGTGTCTGCGTTGAACCAAGTAGAAACTCTTAATCGTCGAGCTTTTTCATCTGCTAAGAAATGTTTGTATTTCAATAGAATTTATTTCGTCAATGAGATTCTACAATTTTGCAAAGAACGCATGCTGTTATATTCACCAAACGTGCACGAAAGCAAACACTTTCGATTGTTCAACAATGTTTTTCGTGTTTAGTGCAGTACTATCAATTTTCGCGATTCTTGTGCCAATTATTTGTGAAAAATAAAAAAAAATAGAATACTGTAGATTACAATTTAGGCCAAAGCGAAAATCTGTAAACGCGTTCAACCCTTAACGTTCCAGCGTGTAAGAAGAATCGTAAGTCATTCTAAGAATGTATACTTCCGATAGAAATTTTCAAAAACAATTCCGGTATACATATACGCGTTACACTTAAAACAATAAAAAATCATCCACGACAACAAACGACATGAAAAACACGCACCTACGAATATTAATTATGATAATTATTAAATATTGCTTCTCTCAAATCTCTACTCCATTTATCTGAGCAATAAAATTCTTTCGAACTTCTATCGTTCCTAAGTACATACTAAAACATTGCATTTTTCAATAGTAGAGAACAAAAAATACGTCGAAGATATATAGCCTAAAGAAAGATTAATACTTAATAAAATTTTCGTTATTAAATTATATATCTATTTTCATTGCTCTTCGAGAATACTTTATATAAATATATAATTTTTTTAAAAAGAAATATACTAATGAGCATAAGCATCGCTATTTGCTCGTTAAGTAAACGAATACTTTTGATTGCAATAAAACAAAAGTAAGCAATACAAGAACTAAAAGAACCGGAAATGCCTACTTTTCAAATAGCTGTTCCTTATCGATCAGCTGTTCATCTGTAAAAGTAAATATGTACTTCCCGGTTATTTACATTAGTTCTTACACCACGTCAAAATACACAAGATTATAGCGGAGGACCGAGAATGGATCGTTAAGGGTTCGAGTAAGCTGAAAACAAAAAAGAAAAAAAAAAGAGACATAGTGAATGAAGACAAAGGAAAAAATCGTGTACGAAGCAAATTGACGTTCTGATCTGCACAACTACTTACGTTGGAAGTAATTATCACGTCGTAGGAAGTCGCTATAAGGAACGAGCTATCCGGGCTATTTAAGTTTTACAACTGTACTCCCGATTATCTCGTTCGGTTTCACTTTCACTTTCATTAATCTGTAATTATATAGTAAATCGATTTAGAGAACACACCAAATTCACCCTCCACCGATCAGCAGCTGCATCGATCCAATTAAACAATTATTACGAATCAATCGTTTTTTCTTTTCCTAATTCAAACTCCGATAATTCAAGTGTGTGTATCTGTTGGTTTTGTGCGCAAATTCCATTACCTATAGTTGGACCGTACAAATCAACCATCTTTCTCTTTCGAAAGCATATTAATTACGCAAGTACACGCAACGAGAATACTGATTAACGTAATGAATGGTCTCTGAATTTGTTACAGTAATTGCGTTGATTCAGTAAATGTATACGCTTATCGATCAATGTATGCACATATATAATGCGCGTGTGTGTTGTTGAACAAGTGGGACATTTAACTCAAACTCAATTCCATCACTGAAGCGTCTAATAAAATTCGCCATTCATAATGAATAAAAATAATCTAGCCCGAATTCTAGCATCTCTACATTCGACAGCTAAAATCCGACTAATAAATGTATACATTTTCTAAACTTCACGCACACTGTGATGTATTCATCTGCTCTTATACTTGTGTGTCGTGTTACTGTTTCTGTAGTTCCTTGTAAAATTCTACAACCGGAGCAATACGCTACTGCGACTCGCATCAGTAATGAGACTCTAAGTATACCGTCGTGTCAGGAAAACGCGTCTTTTTCTTTTCGTAAAAGACAGATCTTCAATTTTCCCCGTCGACGGATTTCGTTTCTATTCAATGTACAATTCCTTAAATGGAATTACATTTGATTTAAATTACAAAAAATACACAGAATGCATAATACGTATAAAAACGTGTGTCGTTTATACGTCACATAGTTATATTTAATCTCTAGTAGTTGGTCGATTGTAAGCAGACTTCGATATGCAACACAAATTTCTAATAATTAATGAAATTGAATCACGGATGGCTCGTTATGAAACAATAAAAATGCAAGCGCTAAATCTTTTTAAATACTGAGATTCGACGTTGTCATGTTAAAAAATTAAAAGAAATCAATAGCTCTAAAACTTTTTGAATAGTCAGATTTTAAAATATGTTCGATCGTCGTGTCTGGATTAAAACTTTTCGAAGATACTTCGAAGTCTGATTGCAACGAGTGTTCGGGTCAGACAGCTTTATATTGCGTTAATTAATGACCATCGGATTACATCTAGTTAACCGCTAATATGCTGTTAATACGTCACGAGCTATAGTGATATTACACGTTCACTAAAAACAATAATATCGCTATTATCCCTATGTGTTCATCGATTTATAATATTTCTATGTGCGTTACAACTACAAACTCTCTTTCATGTTCTCTCTTTCTCTACGGTGAAAGCGTGATCATGAAACGTAAAAAGGTCCCCGTCTCTGACACTGACAATGTGTTTCGTTTCGCACAAGAATTATTAGCTGCCCTAGAACGTCTGACGGGTATACTGTGTGGAATCTATACCTCGGGTGAGTTTTGTGTCGTCGAATTGATATGATCCTGTAAACAAATTCTGAGATCTCGATCGTCCAGCTCGCTCTCAGTCTCGACACTGAAACTTCTCACGTTTTGACCACCGTGACCAGTCCAACGTTGCTCCCAATTTTCTAGCCTCATGACCTGCGACATACACGCGGTGCCTGTTAACTTGGCTGAAAAAAATAGTTCAGCGGGCCGCTGGCTACGAGGACGAGTCAATGATCACCTGATTTCAGGAATGATAACACCTGAATATTTGAAAGATAAAATTATCGCAAATATTCACAATTCTATTTGATGTTTGCGATAAATGATTATCTAATAATTAAATGAAACACTATAAAAGATGCATCAAACGAATGTAAATAAAATAATTTGCATGCGTCTTATTCTTTGTGCACTTATGAAAATAATTGCCTGATTGTGCATCGGCTGTCTCTAATGACCCTTAATATTTCCTCGTACGTATATTCGTTTAACACTCTACTTCACAGTATCAGTTTTACGTTTCATATAAAGCGTAACTGAGTGAAACATTGTGCTGAAAATTATGATGATTAACATGCGCTACTTAACACGTTCATTGAAGCAACGTGTTAAACCAAATTATTCGTAGGAACATCTATGAATATCGTTAATAAAATATTCTTATTTATGTATCTGTAACAAAACGATCAAGCATGCTTAATTACTAAAAATGCAAAACATGTCACAGAAAACAAAGTGCATCAGAGCGCATGCTAAATAAAACGATAAGTTATCGCAACGGGGAGTTAAAGTTAGTGTAGGTGTTGAAAGTAATTAAGATGAGAACGTTAGAATACTAAAGCTAAATGTTAAGAACACTTATTACACTAAAAATATAACTGTTTCTTCAGTGTGGTAGCAGGTCGAGGATGAGGGCGAATCGCCTTTTAATTTAATGTACACATGTATTAAAAACCGAAAGAAAGTTAAAAATGAAAATATTGATATAATTTTTAAAAAAAGGTATTTAATGTTTTTTGTGTGTTCATTTTGGAAGTTCAAAGGGATAAAAGGGGGAACATCTGTAGAAATAGCTTCAAATGAATCCATCGCGATTTTTTCCTGAAACACGTCGACTCTACAAGCACATATAATTAATTTGGTGAAATATGTACAGAAGAGCTATACAAAGAGGAGCCGCAATTGTCCGATATATATATATATATATATATATATATATATACACGTTGACGTCATGCTACGTACATGAGAGAGAGAAATGGAGAAAAAAATAATGCTTACAGATGGGTAAAGACTTACTCGAGCCAGCGCCAAGGCTCAGTCTCCGGGCTGGTGATTGGCGTAGGGAACTAAGGAGACAGAGATAACACAGCAATAGAGGGTTAGTTTTACAAGACGATTAGATCCTTTATGTTAGTGTTTGGTACCTTTACACAATAAGAATTCCGCAGATAATCGAGATCAAGTTCAAATACCACCGCATCATCACTTCCGCTTGCACGGTGCATTCGAACATTATCTTCTCAAACATATTATCTATTCGAACATTCTCAGGAATATTTTCTCTAACAACGCGTTACAAAGCATCGTTGCCGAGTATATTAAAGCAAATGAACGATATCTTTGAAGGTGTATTCATTTATCAAAATAAAATTAAATTACCAATTATTATTACTCCGTGCTGTGCTAGCTCTCAACATCTAATATCCTTGAAGCACAATTAGTAATAGAGTAAATAGCAAGCTTGATCCATAGTAAAATGATTTTAATATGTGTCCAAGTATAATATGTATGAAATACTTTGAACGTTATAATGAGAAAGCATTGGAAGTTTCTTGTATAAAATACGAATAGAGCAGATCTTCAGAACTGTTGATTTAATGCAATACATTATGACATACATATTTCCTCAGAGGCAGTTCCTTACATAGAATAAAGCCCTCAAAGATATAAATTTTATTTCGATAAGACGATGATTGTTAAAAAATGCGATGAGACAGATACGATTAAAATTGAAAAGCGATTCGACATATACCGTTTATATTTTGCATTGCAGCAGAGACATAACAAGCTCAAAATACACCCTATCATGTAACATAAATTATTTTATATATACGATTTACGTAATTCGTATAAATTATGTAAATGCAAAGAATTATGAATGAATTAAAGCAATTGGAAGCGAGCTTCTGATGATGAAACACAATGAATTCTTGATGTGTAGAGGTACCTCCAGAGGGGTATGTTATCTGTTTATGAGAAAGATGGAATAGCTGTGTTTTATCGGTATTTAACAGTTAATAACCGTGAAATATTTGCCCTGTACTGGTAGCGTTCACTTAATTAATTTTGCGCATATCATAAAACAGTATTAGTCAATTAAAAGATTAGTGATATAAAAGCCTGACCTTCGGCAAGGAACTTTTAATAAAACTTTAATAAACCAATCGGTGAGAGTAGCCTGAAATGAAGATTGTTATCGAATTTATCATATAGAGCACGAATTTATAGACAAAACGGAAAAAATATATTTGCGTGACGATCAGCATTATATTGCAGTAAGAGGTGCAAGTTGTGCAGAATTTTGCGAATCACATCGATACGAAAGCATAATCTTCGCTTATCTTACACGTTATCGAATTCTATGTACAAAATAAATAACAATGTATCTTTTTCACAAACCTATTTTCCTAACAAGGACTTTGTAATAGTGGCACATCAAATATTCAGCTCGTGATACGTGAATCAACGGTGCGGCATAGATAAGGAATAACAATATTTAGTGTTAAATCCCCATTAAGTGATAAGTATTAGTATATGAAAAGAATACAATAGAGACATGAATGCTTCGCAAAAAGTGTGTATTATCACATGTGTGTAAAAATGAGTAGAAATAAATTGATATCACACAATGAACTGTACAGATTAATTTCTGGAAAGATGTCCCAATTCTGTGTAACAAATCAATTTATTATTTTATAAACTGTAAACATTAAAGAACTGAACATACTTGAAATGTATCGATGATAACGACGAGATTTGTGTAGTAAATGTGATCGAATGACTAGACACATAGGGAAACGACAAATTAAGATACCACAACGGGCTATTAACTGGAGTTACATTCTATTCCCAAATTTACGATAAATCTCGATAATTACGTAATCTCTACAAGCTCGAAGTTTACTAACTTGCAGCCTAGTAGCATGATCGAATAAAAATTGTATTATAAGCTACTGGACGATGATCATAATTCTACGTTTTTATTGTCTACCGTGATTACTTCTACCTTGATACTTTGGTCTCATATCTCGAGGTCAAAACAAATAAATGAGTTTCAACGTCAACTGAGGAGATTTTACGTGAATTATCGACGATCATAAACATGTATTAATCATAATACTTATTACCTGTGCATAATTGAAAGCATTCGTAGTTATTATTTCCAGTACTAGAAAATGCTTATTTTTTAATTCGATACCGTTAATTAGTACATGCAAAAATTAAATCTGTTTACTGTTTAACAATTGGTTCACTATACACCTCTTGCTGCAATTTTTACTTGTTTCAAATTAATGCTTTCACTAATGCAACACGAATACAGAAAAGAAGATATCCACATACCTCAGCTTTTAATTCTGCAACTTTGTCCTGTAGTTCTCTCACTCTCTCACTGTCGTCTAAATTATTCCTAAGTTCACCTTCCGCGTGCATCTCTTCGTTCTGTAAAAAACAAAATGAACCAATAACGTTATAATATTTATGCGAATATATTTAGATTGTGGATGTATTACGTGTAAAACAAAATTAAAGAATAAATGATTAGTACTTTTAATTCAAGAAGAGATATCTTTTGGGTGAGTTCTGCCACTTGCTGCGCGTGCTCCGCGTCGCGTATTCTAGCCATCATAGCCTCGTCCTCCATTTTCGACTCCAAATCGGAATACTTGTGTTGTTGCTCACGCAGTTTGGCAGTGAGTTCCTTCTCCCTAGCTAAGGCAGCCTCCAATTCCTCTTTCACCACCTTCCCTCCCTCGTCTTGTCGTCGGAGTTGATTCGTCGCGACCTGCACTTGAGTCTCAAGCTCCATCACTTTCAGTCTAAGCTCCTTCACTTCCGTCAAAGCTTCCATCTCCCGGATTCGGGTCGTCATCAAGTCCTCCTCGTACTTTTGAACCTCGTGGCCCCTGTTCTCCCAAAATAGGAGTTTCTTCGGCGTGGAATCGCTCGCCGGTTGATTTTGAGCGGAACGATGCTCCTGCAGATGTCTTTGCCAAGCGCTACTCAATTCCATCATTCTCTGCCGTAGATCCTGACAAATTTTTTACGTTACCACAAATTGAAACTTAGTTTTAAAAATATACAGAAGTGAAAAGTATGAATTACCTTCAATGAAAGATTAGCCTCCGCCTCTCTCAATTTTACGGCTATCAATTCTTCTTGCAAATGAGCCACGGAATTATCCGGCGTCGATTCACGCAACGTCTTTTTATCTTGCTCGAGCTCTTGTATTCTCGCCCTTAATTCTCTTATCGTTGCATCGTTCTCCGCTTCGTGCAGCCGGACCCTCACTAATTCCTCTTGCAAACACTGTATCATTTCCTCCTTCTGCGACAACGCTTCCTGTTTCGATAAAATTTCGTCCAACGAAGATTGTTTCGATGTCACGTTCTCTTCTAGCAACAGCGATAAGGATCTCAGTTCTTCGTGAGCTTGCTCCAGTTGGTGACTGGTCTCGAGATGCGTATGTCGGAGAGCTGCTAATTCCCTTTGTACAACAAAAGCGGTTTCCTCCTCTTCCGCGCGGGAAACCTGACCTCTGACTAATCTGTCCGCCAATTCAGCAGACTCAGCCTCCAGGAGCTCCGTTCTTTGTCTCAGCAACCTATTCTCGGCCCTAAGCCTCCGAAGCTCGACCATCTCTTCTTGCTCTTTCATTTTCAGCACGGTGTAATCTTTCTCTAGTTTCTTCATTCTTTTCGGGTTTATTTTCATACCATAAGCAAGATTCATAAGGCCATCGGGATCTCTCTCGGCTTTCCCAGGTAGCTGTTTCTGAAAGAACTATAAGAAAGCAAAAGAACTTATGAGCATTAAAACGAAACGAGTATGTAATCAATCTAAAGGTACGCGTGAGGACAATATTGTTCCGTAATTTCAATTAATTATAGTCTAAATCTATTTTTCTCGAAAGATTATTCATCTCTCAACGTTCGACACATTTTTCTACGAAATATAATAGATGAATAATAACTCATTCTAAAGAATAAGAAGACATAGGATTTCAATGAAAAATTACCTTCAACATGCCCTCCATATCCAAGCTCAATAAATCTTCCTTGCCTAAATGCAACATGGCCAGCGCGACTTTGAAAATAATTTCCATGCCCTCGGACAGAAATACGTCAAAAATGCGACAGGCCAGCGGCAGGCTGAGCGCTGTTGTAAAAAGCGTAAGAAACCAAGAGGACGCGTACATCGAGGTGTGAAAACCTTGAGCCGTGAAATGAGCGTGTAACTCGGGATGCGTGTCAGCAACTAAATGTTCTAGCTGATACATGCACACCCCTAATTCAGCCATACTTGGCTTGAACATGTCTCGCAAACGATACTCTTGCATAAGCGCTACCAGTACAGCGAAAGCTTCCTCCTCTGGCATTTGCTGTAACAACAAATTGATATACCTATATTTAATTCTCGATCGTGTCTTGATCGTAACTGATATCCCACATATCTTTTTTCTCTACTTCATTTCTTGTCTTTTTTAATTTTCTCTATAAAAGAATAATTCATCCTCTATTCTCTCACTCAAACATTAAAGTGTACCTGCATAAGGAGTAATCCTACAATAAATCCCGAACCTTGACAGTATCCCACTTCACGATCGTGAAGGCTATAAGCTTTCATAACATTAAACAGGCTCTCCTGACCAAGGCCGTCCTTCTCCTTAAAGAAATCGTGCTCAGGATACGTCCTGGCTATGTCCCTCCTGATTATCCTTTCGCAAGCGGACGTGGCCTTGATATACTCAGCGAATTGCTTTTTCACAGGAGAGTCGTGAGCACCGCTTAATAGTTGCCAAACAATACCTCTGCAATAATGAACAGCAATCAGTTTCTTTCTTCTATCGAAGCGCACTTCTCTTTATCATTTCAAATTAGAATTATTCCGAGCTAGACTCGACAAACGCGTTGAATCTCTCTAAATAATTGATTACCTAAAATGATGAGGTATTCCTTGACGTACTAACTCTTTGACGAACTCTTTCCTCTTCTTCCAATGATAATCCCAATCAGCGACGATGTGACCCCAAAGGGTCCACGTATTTTCCTCGCCATCCGCCGAGGTGTGGCGTCGGGGTGCAGCATCGCCGTTGCCTGCACTGCTCCCCGACGCCACCGACACTTGAGATGTGTCCGAACCTTTCCTACTGTGATTGCTTTGGAGCGAGTTCAACGATTTTGCATCCGATTCGATAAGCCTGTCATTAATTACACCAAAACTCTTAACACACGAACTTCTACCTTAACGCTTTTAAACGTTGAGTGGTAACATATGATGCTCAGGCTGATAGAAACAAGACCTCCTTATGAATATGTGGTAATTTGAAACCGTTGCCTAATATCGTTAAATATTACTATGAAATAAAATACCCTTCTTTTACTAACAAATGCCAGTTCTCTCTATTGTTATTTTCAATTAACGAAACTATTTTCATATGTTACAACCCAAAATAATCCTAATTAATGCAAGAGTACGTATTGTGTTCGTCGACTGTGGGCTCGTTATCGCTCAACTTGAAAGGGGCAAAAAACACGTAACAAGCAGGATAGGCAAATCAATATAAAAAATGATAATAGTTAACAAATCTGGTATTAGATACACAAATTAAATATGAGGGTTCAGTACTATGAAACTTTCACTAGGATTCTCATTCACAGATAACTAATCTCGTGTTTATATTATATATGTACATGTAGTGATTCATGTATTAGACTTAGGTATACGTATAGGTATAACTGGACGCAATGCGGCAATATACATAATATCTAAAGCTTGCGCATGCAGTGACTAACGGTATGATGTTAGTCAACGCGAGGATAATTCACCTATTGGCTTCCTCCAGCTTAGCTAATAGAGCCAGCTCGTCGGTGGGTATTTCCTGCGACGAGTTTATCCTCTCTTCCTCGGATGGGATCGGCGGCGTGGTCGGAAGTATCTTGCTGGCCTGGTTGCTGTTTCGACCGGTCTGGGGTACAGTGGTGCATAAACACAACACGCTCATCACCTGCGGTCCATAACGCGATAATCCTAATTGTCCGGCTGCCTGTTTCTCTTGGCCTCTGTAAAAGCGATGATCATTTTAGATGACAGGTGACTCGCCCCAGGTGACGTAATAGAAATGATATCAGCGTTTCACAGCCTCCAACATTTCCGGATACATTAAATCAATATGCACATAATGTTGCCTTGTATTTTATTCTCCCAAAGTCTTATAAATAATAATCAGTTTTATCCATTAAATATAGAGGTTTGAAATACCTCGGACGTATAAATGTCGAAATGTGAACGTGTAAATTTATAAATATCCTAACATATTGAATACGAGATATGATTAAGAGAACCAGAACTTTGTCAATTAATTGATTCGGATTGTCATATTTAATTAACGATTTATGCAATTGCATTCGCTGTTAAATAAGGTGTCATTTATGCGAAATAAATGGATTGAAGTGCGATTCTCGACTGGGCTCCATCGAAACCTAATTAAATCTCGCGTGCTCTTCAACCCCCTACGCCTTACACGAGTCATCGCGGAAGATACCAATGAACGTTCATTAACGAGATCTTTCTCTCTCTCTAACTATCTTCCTTTTCTCGTCCGCCTCTCTTTGAATACTGTTCGACGTTCGTTAAACCTCAATTAACGTGTTCGTTCTACCTTTTCGACGATTTATTCCGAGTCCATCGCGCCGCCGCTGGTGCCAGCAAACCACGAAGAACCATTGAGAAATTTTCTCTTCGGTCTCGCTCGCGAAACTTTCGACCGGACCGTTTCAACCCCGTCGTTCCGATTACTTTCGATCTTTCCACGAAACGCTGGTCGCAGCGTACGACTTTCCAACGATTTGTCGCGTTGCACGCGTCTGGCTCATAGACATCCTTTTCTGGGAATAGTCTTTGCAGGCAAAACGCGATATGAACAGTTTCCCAATTTTACTCTATAACGATTTCATAAAGTTCCTTTAGCAATTCTTGCAATCTTAACGTACGGCAAAAGGAAAAACTTTCTTCGAAACTTTATAGTGGATGATGGAAGGAATTCACTTCCTCGAGACCCACAGAGCAATCGTATAAAACGAGCCATGTAGTTAATACTTTAAAGGCTTTCCTTGATTTGGAGTTTCATCCTCGTTCAGGAAAATATTATTAATTCACAATGGAAACCGGATCAATATCCCACTTCTATCAAATATTTTACTCTGCTATTCAATTTTGAAAGTTAAATTTTAATTAAATTCGACTTTCATTCTCCTATTCTATTTTATATCCGATTCATGTTTTGAATATTGTTTTTCACTTTTTATGATTTCGTATTTCCATTTTCCAATTTTCCGACGCGGTTTAAAACGAGCAATCGCGCTTGCAGACAACAAAATATCGAGAAGAAAGCTGAGCAATTAGCGTGTGCTAGAATGAATTAGCGAACAAATGCAACGCGCGAAACACTCATGGTAATAACTTACACGCCAGCCGCGAGATGTGGGATAATTTATTTTTCTCGGTACTCTCAATTACTCTGGAATTTTAAGCGCGCACATCTGGGCAATCGAACGAATAGATAATTTTCAAATGCTTTCTAAAAGTCGACGATGTACATTTGAATATTATATGATTTTTTATATACAAAAGTTTTACAAGGAATGTATTTTTCTATACAATATATTTACGTTCATTTTTGCATTTTAAATAGTGGGTCATTTATTAGAAGGCCACAGCTGTTATTATTATATTTGTATAACAATAAAACGGAAGTTCCCTCGTCTTAAAACGGAACTCGTTACAAAACATCGTCGTCATTCTATTCTTCTTCTGAATTTTACTTCATTATTACGTTCTTACATTCTACTATCTACTTACATGCTAAAATCTAAAATACTGTGTGTGTTTCACCCATTAATCTGATTTCCTGTTAAAATCTAAAACCGCCCACTAAATTCAAATGAGGAGACTGATTCATACTTTTTTATTCTACGTTTGCGCAACCGATGATGCGTGCAAGTATTTTGCTTTTAAAGTATTGTGTTAATTCCAAGTTTTGAAATGCGTGATCACCGACCCGTGGTTCCCGCCCACGTTCCATTCCGTATTCACTGGCAAAAGCGTAACAAATTGTAGGTGCGACTAAGCTTTTGATCGCTAGTATGTCACACGTTCTACATTCGTGTTGGTACGTTTATACTGAGCCGCGACACGGCAAGCATCCATTCGCAGATAACACTGCTCATGATTATTCAAACGATAGCGACCACAACCGCCCACCAATTCCCACTTTGTTTAGACAAGCGAATGAATTAATCAAATAAAGAGCATCCAATTAAGAAAGTGCCCGATTTTTCCCAATTGATGCACAATTCTAAAAATCTACCCAAGTAACTCAGGTCTTGCTCGATTCAATCCCAGAGGAACTGAACTGAATCTCTTCCAGTACCACAAACCAGACTCCTACTTTGATTAAAAAATCCAATCTACGAACCCTATGGCGTTTGATCCAACTCCAAATAAAAATGTAAACATACAATTATCGAAGACCCGGTTACGTAAGATTCGAAACGATCTGCTAATCGATCGTTTACCACGACAAACGAGTGTGCATCTGACCAGAAAAGACGAGAACCGGGATCAAGAGCCGGCGGCGGCAGGTGACGAAGATTGTCTAACCGGGAGTAATATCACGGTATCACACAGAGATAACGATCAGTTTCTAAAGGCAGCCGGGGACACGATCGCCCGACGACGACCGCCGGTTAATTGGTCAATCGATGTTGATTTTATCTCGTTCCCTTTTCCGATCAAACTGGCACAGTAGGATCGCCAAACGCGTACTGGAAACGTATACGAAATGGTTTGAGGGTCGATGGAGCCCGCGCAGGCCAGGATGCTCCACATGCGCACCCGACCTCTTCTTTCGTAACGAGAGAGTAAATAAAAAGACTACAATAATTCCGGCGACGCAACGACGGCAAATTTCCCGTAGAAATTGTATCAAACGACGCCCCCGCGCGATGAATGTTTTTAGAAAAGTCGATTGACGCAGGTAGCTAGCAATAATTGAGTCACAACCGTACAAGGACGATTTTTGTTTCTAAGGAATCAAAAATTATGTTGAGGCAAAATTTGAGAGATGGAAAAACAATTCTGGCGAGATACGAGTCATTCTGACATCGCATCATTTCCTTGACATGAATTCTTAATTATGAATACGCATTATATTATTAGAAGTATGAAAATTATTCATACTTCTATAATTGTATTAAATATTTCATAAATTCACCACCAAGAATGGAAGATACGGAAGTTCTCTTCAACTTTCTCATCGCATAGCCGGAGTTCCACTTAATTATAGAAATGTACATCTATATAATACTCTGCTACTCTATAATCTGACAAAATTGATCGGTTTCAGAATTTCCACTATGACTTAGTAGTTCACGTATTATATTTGTGAAACATACGTATGTTCATAATGCATGTGTAAGAAATGTTTATTACATTGGAAAACGTAGTTATAACAATCCCTGAACATGTTTTAATTATGTCTGGCAACTAGTTCACAGTTGTTTCGAAACAATTGCCATCTCGTCCGGCACTAATTTCAATTTTACGCGATGCATATAAAGCTTCCCGTATTGTTACGAAACAATTGTTTCAAACTACTTGAAAACTTTCGTTTTATTATTCTTATTTTTACGTAAAGTATTTACCACGTAAAAAGAGATATCGATAGGTAGATATGTTGGTATATTACTTAACAAATAGCTAGGTACAACGATGAATGACGGATCGCTTTACCGTTACGATTACACAACACATGCAGCTGTATACGTGGAAAGCAATCGTCCAAATGCAGGTGCAAACAAAGCGATCGGGGAAGTGAAAAGGGAAAAGAAAGAGCCGACTAGTGCGAATAATGGAATGCGATGATTCGAAAAAACCTCTCCCGTACGATTTCAGCAACTAAATTCTAGAGAGAATGCAACGATGCAGCAATATATTTCACTGAAAAACAAGTTGACACAGTTTTTTTTTATCTGCAAAAGCTTCCTTTTTGATCTAGTGAAAACTTCGACATAAATTAAAGTCTTTGAAACCGCTCTACTGGATTGGGAAAGGTACTGAAGAGTTGAAATCTTTTCATCCTTTACTGATATATTTTTAATTCTCCTATTTCTGGTTTGCATGAGTGTAAATGCATTACATGTTTATTTGTCAAATGAGAAATTTATAAAAATTGCACCTCAGAAATCTTTAAAAACACTGTTTTACTTCTGATATGAAATAAGAAAGATTACTCTGCATTGACTTGTAACTCTCATTCTAGTCCTTCCATTGATCTATTTGTTTAAATAACCATTCATTATTTGCAAGTACCTCAAGTATATAACATTGCATTGGTAATGTAATCTTCATAAGTAACCTTTTTTAATAAAATCGTCAGTATCAAAAACAGGCTACTATTTCGTACAAATTAGAATTCATAACATAAGAGATAAATATTTTCAACGTGACATCATTAAGTAACCGTTCCTCACGCGAACACGGTTCGTTCGCACCGCATCGTTTTTCAGCGAGTGAGACGTGAATCGGCTAGGAAAGTGTGGAAAACGGTAACGAGAACGCGAGAAACGAAGAATCGGTAACAGGTGCCTAACAATGCGACTACGAAAAAGGAAAACTGTCAGTGTGGCACTTGTCCATATTACACAAACTGTCAGGCGAAACGAGTTGCAGGCGACCATCTGTTTCCGATATGGGATAAAACTATCGTAATGCACGTACCTTCGTTGCGATTAATACTCCATGCAGCTCACGCGAAATGAATCACTTAATGTGTCAGAAAAGTCTGTTTCGCGCGAGCGAAAACGAATAGAACGCTACCAGAAGAGTAACGAAACACATACGCGACTGTCACCACTTAAAATTGTCATCACGATAGATTCGTTCATGAACAGTCTTGCCAACACGCTGTTAATCTTGCCAGAACGAAGAGGAATGGTCCTTTTTTTAAATCTATCGGTCCTATGGGTTTCTCTTGCGATATTTTATATTCCCGACGAATAAGTCGATTTCTAAGTGGAAATTGCTGCATTCTAACTCTTCAAATATTGCATACACTCATATTCTAAATGGAGCTTTGCTTTGCACTAGGAATATTCTTATCTAACCTGAATATACACCAGAATTGTTTGCCCTGCTTAAATAACTCATGTAAGCAGTGATAATTTCACTCGGTTACGTTAGAAATGAGGTAGAAAAGAAAATAGACACCCTATAATATATTGAAAAAATATAAAAACTGTATAACGTCATAAAAGAACACGTGTTCTCTTTTGTTTTAAAAGAGTGATATCGAAAACAATATGACAATACCTGTTTGTTTGAACAGGTTCAATAATGAAACTTATTTTGGGATCGTTCAAGCAGACTATATCAAGCCCTTATCAGCTGATATGTAAATAAAAAAGTGTCATAACATTTTAAGATAAAGATTTAACAAAGATATGCGTTTATTGTTGATTGCGTTTTAGTTATTTGTTATCGCATTAAAGTATCATTAGAAAATGTCATTGAGGAAATTTATGCATCCAAGAAATAAGTACAAAAAAGTGCCTGATTTTAAAGAACTTGCTCTACTGTATCCAGAATTTCGTAAAATTGCCATCACTGTAAGAAACCATTACTCGTTCTTATTAAAATTTCGTATATAAAAGATGATAATGAATAAATTCCATATTTAAACTTTAGAATCTGGCAGGCAAAGTGAAGATTGATTTTAAGAATGAAGAGAGTTTGAAAGTACTCACAGAAGTATTACTGAAACATGACTTTAACTTGAATGTTAAAGTACCACCAAATAAATTAGTACCTACTTTGCCATTACGTTTGAATTATATTTTATGGATTGAAGATTTAATGACACATGCTTCTTTCAATGAGATGAAAAAAGTACATGGCATAGACATTGGTAATCAGTTAGTTTAAATATATTGAAATACATTTCTATGAGAGTTTTATAAAACAATTCTGTTCCTCACAGGCACTGGAGCTATTTGTATTTATCCTCTACTAATTACAAAAATGTATGGCAATCAAATGATTGGTACAGAAGTTGATGAGACAAGTATACAGACAGCTGTCGAAAATATTGAAAATAATAATCTGCAACATTTAATAAAAGGTAGATTAATCACATACGATACTCTTCTTTTTAGCTATATTGCTTCTAATTGTATATTCTTAGTACAGTACTTAAAGTGAATGAAGAAACAATTTTAAAAGGCATACTGGAAGAAGATAAAGTTTATCACTTTACAATGTGCAATCCGCCTTTCTTTGAAATAGAAGGAATGTCGGAAAAAGTGGTAAAACGGTTACCACCAAGGAATGCCCCAACTGGAAATGAAACTGAGCTCACAGTTCAAGGTGGTGAAAGAGCATTCGTGACACAGATGATTGAAGAAAGTATGGAATTTAAGGAACGAGTAAAAATTTATACCACAATGTTTGGTAGAAGAAGTAATTTATTATTTTTATTAAAATTATTGAAAAAAAAGAATATAGAAAACGCAACGTGGACAGAGTTCTGTCAGGGTCACACGAAACGGTGAACATATTTTTTCTCGGAACATCATTGTTTTTAAATTTTTTTACGAGAATATAACTTTTTTTAACAGATGGGGATTAGCTTGGTCGTTTTTGTCGAAAGATATTATCGATTTAACAAATGCGCCCGTTATTAGAAAGAGTGGAGATTATATCGCGAGATTATTGAAGGAACAGCGTCCAGCAGAAATACAATTTCCGATGCGACACAAATTTTCTTCCCTCGACCATTTAGTCCGGTTTCTGGAAGAGACAATGGAGGAATTACATGTAATACTCCATTTTATATTTTACGTATTATATACGAAATTTCGATTCATCTTACGTAAATTCAATATAGGTACAAATTAAAGAATTAAATTTGCCGATCGACGATTTCAACGGCTGGTCGTGTCAACTGATCGCGCAGGAGAACACCTGGTCCTACGCACGAAGGAAACGTCGCCTAGCACAAAGGCTAATCAATCAATCTAAAGAGAATGAGACGGAATGTACGACTGACGATAAAAATGATGACACGCGAAATAATTCTATTGAGGAAAGAGTTGAAACATCAATGGAAGAACAATCTGTTACGAAGCAGCCTTTGTTGATATGTAGTTTTTTTGTCGAAGTGGTAGAGCACGAAGAATCTGAAGATGACGATGTAAAGATTTCTATAGTTTATGAGAAAGGAACCGGTGGCAAGAACGCGTTGGAGACGTTTCGTCAATATTTGATTAATAAACTGGATGTACGAGAACATTTTCAGAAACGACAAGCAAAATCGAATAAAAAGAAGCGTAAACGATTAAAGACGAGCGACAATGAAAAAAAATCGTTTGCAAGCGATGATGTGGAATCTGCTTAAGACGCCAAGATCGTATTCCGTACAAAATGATTTATTTTACGCGCAAACTTCTTGAAATTACGTAACAGGTAACATATGTAAATCAAGTATTTAATTTTATTTATAATCAATAGTCCTTATTAACTAGCATTCATTTATCATACATTTTGGCTAACAAGTGCAATATAATATTTTCATTGTTGTAAAGTATTCCAAACTCGTTAAATAGAAACTACACGGCACGTTTCATTTATTCACCTTCTCGTTATTATCGATATTTAATGATATTATCGTTATCATTATAAACGTAATTGATTTAAAACACAAAATAATTTTTTCTCATTTAAAACAAATTAATCAATTAATAACATATCTGGCTTGATTATGATAAAATTTCAACATAGGACATTTCCTGGCATTCGTCTTTTAACGAATACTACTTGATAAAGATATATGATTCATAAACAGAAATAAGTAGATTAACATCTTGGTAACGGATGACTCTCAATGTCTGTAACTCTATAACTACCTGCAGTACTTCTAGTAGTAATGAGGAAATTGACGCTACTCCCCTAATACGGTGACTAATGAGCCTTTTTTTTTTTATAATCATTATCAATGCGATTCAACAATGCACCTGTCATTATACCATGCTTTTGCTGCCACCACTGTTTTCTCTTTTTAAACGAAACATACCTTTAGGAACAAAAGATGTTCATTTAAATTAAAATTGTTTACAGATTCAAATCCTCGCGTGACGTGACAATAGAAATAAACATGATACAAAGATGAAAGACAGTTTTTCATGTGATGCATGCAGTATAAAAACTATGTGGTAAAGCTGTAAGAATTGTTCTTGTTGAATGCAATACAAATTTCGCATTGGTCTCGTCCTCGATTAATTAATTTTATGAGAAATTTATTATCGCTTGTTAGAAAGAGATCTATCACTTATATTGAATCCAACAAGACTAATACCTAAAAAATAAAAAACGTACGTATGACTTCAATATGCGTAGAGTTAATCGATGGCAACTAGAACGGAAGTGACAGTGCTGCCTGATGGCACAAAATGATTTCAAGTATTGTATGTACCTACGAATAAAATAGCCTATCGAGAACGTAGAAAAAAAATTGACTTACACTCTATGTTAATAAAATCCGTTATTCGTTTTACGATTTCCGTACCGCATTAATTTGGTCGATACGTTGCGCGTTCTTCAAGTTTCGATAAACACTTGTGCAATACGCTGGAAGAAATACTAGTGTACTATTTCGTCGATTAATACAACAATGTAACGTTCGCAATATCCGTAATCTTTTTTCGTATCGTTACGAAGTATAATTAATTGAGCCTTTTGAAAAAACACGACGATATTAGGCAATGTAAATTAATCACTGGTATCTTGATTTTTCGACCATATTCTTATTTTTGTTCGTTTGATCATTTGGTAAATTAAATCATGAGCGGCGATACTTGTGACAAGGCAATCAATGTTTTCGTTCAGAATTATTTACACAAGTGGAGAATTCGAAGTTTTCATATATATATGCAGTCGTAAATCAGTCAAATAAATTCTATAGCTTGGCGTGTTATAGGTAGTCGAGCATCGCGAGCATTAGGAAGTTTCCACCTACACTGTTATTTGATCCTCGCACTGTGAAAGTTCCATTTTGATAGCACTTGATGAAGTGCATACGAAATACACCTCGAATAACGATCCTCAACATCAAGCAAAAACCGTTGTTGCTTTCATTTTTTCCCAATCAATTATATATGCCGTACTCGCGTTACTCTTGAAAAAGACCGGACGCGGGCAGGGAAAGACTAGGAGTTGGAAAGAAAACTACTAAGTGTCATCGTTAACAATTTAAAACGAGCTCAGCTTTCTGCGACTACTGGTTCTAACGTTGTCTTATTCTCCTCCAACTTTTTCAATTCTACTTTCTGTGCTTCCACCTTTTTCTCTACCTTTTTATTCTCCTTTTCCTCTTTCTTACTCTCTTTCTCGTTCTTCTTATTTTCCTTCTCCTCCTTTTTATTATTGTCTTTTTCTTCCTTCTTAGTCTCCTTATTTCCATTTTGAAGCGCCTTCATTTCGCCGTCAGGCGTCTGTTCCTTTTGCCGTTTCTCTATCTCGGCTTTGAAATTTTCGATGTCCTGCTGACTGATTTGAACGAACAGAATGCCGTTGATCACGTTCAACATGTCGAGCACAGATCCCATGCTAGGCGGCTGAACTTGAATCGGTGGCAGGCTAACGCCCGATTTTCCAGTATAAATTTCGTTCATCTTCTTCTGAAGAACAACAGCTTGTTGCGTGAGATGTCTTAAACAATCACTGCTCTCTTTAGTTTTCTCGTGATCCTCTCCCAACTGTTGCTTGTAGATAGAGTAAGTTTCTTTCTCGTTATTCAAAGCTGCCCGGAAATCGCCCATACAGGACTGGGTTCTCGCCACGAGGTGATAAGAGACAGCGACCTTCAACGACCGCGGTCCGTGATAACGACGATTAAGATCCAAAGCATGCTCCAGAAAGCGGAGCGACAGTTCGTATTCACCGACAGCATGAAGTATCAATGAAATATTGCTATCAAGTAGCGCTACTTCCGGATGATCTTCGCCAAAAACTAACAGAGCCAAATAACGAGCTCTGTAGAGTAACCTAAGTGAAACAGAAACTTGGCCGTTGGCGAAGGAATATAGTGCTAGATGGATATATTCGGTAATAGTATATGGATGATCAATTCCGTTTACTCTCTCCGACATAAGGACCGCTTTTTGTTGTGTAGCGAGAGCCTCCCCATGGTCGCCCATTATGTAATTCAATCGCGCAAGCATTCTGAGACATTGCGCAATTTCGGGATGCATCGCGCCGTAGACGTTATTCAACAAATTCAATGCCTCGCTGATTAATTCATAACCATCTTTCAAATACCCCTGTTGAATCTTACTTTGCCCCGTTGTATAGAAATTGTATGCGTCGCTAGCCTAAACAAAATGAAATCATTTAGATATAGAAACATGGAAATAAAATTCTCTTACTTACTCTAGGATTGATATGCTTCACAACGGGGAATATATTAAGTATATCTTCTTCGAAGAACGTGGCTCTGTTCTTGTTCTCGAAATTATATTCGCGTAATAAAATTTGGATACCAGTCTTTATACAGAAGTTACGCAGTAACGAGATTTTCTGTAAATGAAAATGTTCTATCGTGGCGTCCAGAGATTCCGGACACGGAGTCTCCCAATCGTAATAGCTTTTCAGATCGGCTTTGATCTGTTGCCAAAGAGATTTAGGCGTCAAGGAAGCCCATTCCACTTCCGACTGTTGCGGACCATTATTTCTACCTTTCCTTTTATTACGACGTTTGGCAGTTTTACTTTGTAGCTGAAACCGATAATTATATAAATTTTCACCTAGAAGATTATTTCGTTCATTGATACATTTCATAATAGTAATAAACGAGTAAAATCAACGAATATAAAACGGCTACGTCCTGCGATTACACTACTATCGTACCTCTTCCAAATTTTGTTGTGGATGAATAATTTGTGCAGAGGAGAGCAAGCAATTTAAGAAATGACTAATTGCTGCTGAAAGACTCATTAATTCCGTACCCTGAAAAACAAACGGTTGAGTCATTCACGTTCAATAAAATTCAAGTTGTTTTATTCTTTACCAATATACCTGCATATAAAATGTAAAAATATGTTTAGCTGAGCGTAAAATAAGTTCCGAAACAGCGATGCACTTGAGATATTCCAATTTTCGAATCGTAGATAACATAGTTGCTAATTTTCCAAGATATCGCACATTAATACCTTTACCATGTAAAGCCTCTACAAGCGTACTGCCATCCATTGCAGCAGCTGTATGATCTATGTACTCTCGAATCTATAACAATTTTAATTGTGTACACTGTTTAGAACGTTACTTCCTATAGAGGAACTAAAGAACTATTAAAACTCACAAACGTAGGAATCTGAACGGTGAGTAAAAAGTCGGCAGCATCTTGTACCAACTGCTTTTGCTTCTTCAAGGCAGGACCATTTGGATCTGGATGTCTAACACCCGGAGAAAATACATCCGGATTGAATCTAACGTCGAATTCAGCCTCTCGCAAACTACCAACTGCTGTTGCTGCTCTTCGAACTATTTCTTTCGTGCTCTCTTCCACTGAAAATGAAATAAGTGAACTTAATATACATCGTTCAGTAACGCAAATGATTTATTACACACATTCTTGTTTCTCTCCACCAGTAATGGAATCGGTAATGCTCTCTACAATCTTCTTGGCTTCATCCGTTTCAATAAGAGCCTGAGTTGAGTCTTCTTTATTACTATCCACTGCAACAGCATTGGATTCTTCCTTTTTACCTTCCTAGTGATCAATTTCATATGAAACATCAACGATATTATCGTAATGATATCCGCCGAATGTTTAAACAAATTTCTTACGTTAACAGTAGTTTCCTTTTCTTTTTGCACTCTTCTTGCAGATGTAAGTTGCTGTAAGTGAACAGCGGCATGTTTAATAAATTGCACGTATCTAGCTTCGACGAAGGAGTCGATTAATTCTTGACGAAGGCAAGCTAGCTTGTGCTTATGCTCAATTGGAAAACCTAAAGCTCTAGCTTCTTTAGTTAGCTCAACTCCTTCCACTGCAAAGAGCACAATAATAATGTTATAATTGATAATAATTTTGAATTCAGAAATATCGTATCAATTTACATTTGAGAAAATTGACGTCAGGAGGAAAAGTTCGTAACAAATCCAAAACGTAGTGTCGAGAATCATTTCCGATAATGCCCTTGCATTCTACGCTGCTGCAAAGTTCGATCTCCTCGCCAGCATCATTGATAACCTTATGAGGAAGAATTTTCAACTGTTGGCCGGTCTTATTTAACTATAAAATATCACGCACGTGTTTTAAAATGATTGTCATAAATGCTTCTTACAAATAAGACGTAATATTATTATTCTGAACACTGACCAATTCGAGATACTTTGGATGCGTGAGAACCGTTTTCCCAAAATCTATAGAACCATAAACAACGGATTGCTCCTGCTCTCGTTCCAAGATTCCGGGGATGATCGACTGAGCGGTGACACGATATCCTCTATGCAGAGGAATATGAGTGATTACCACGAATATTTTAACATCCGTTCGAGATCGGGATGTAAGTTGCAATAGAATATTGAACTAGTATGTACAAATGATCCGCTACAAAATATCCACGTCGTACAAATAATGTGTCGAAAGGGGTGCACGTATTTGATTCCAGAACAAACCTGTAATCGATTACAACGGTGCCAAGTGTGTAAAGGCTGGGCAGATCAACAGCTGCGTACACTCGGACGCCTTGTAAATCGTTCCGCGGTGCAACGAAAGCAGCTGCGTCGCCACCGAGCTCTTTGTAATGATCCCTGACGTCAAACCCAAGGGAGAAGAAAATATTATTCCAGATAAACATTTGCATTTTCGCTTCTTCGCCTGGGTTTATCGCCATCACGTTACCGTCTATCACGGCCACGGCACCTCGCGTGGCGGCAGCAACGAAGTCACTGTGTACCTAAGCAATTCAGTCATTCATAAAATCTGGTCGTACGTTGAGAATCGTATGTTACGTAAATAACAGGCATACTTTAAAAATAGCACGTTCCCTAAGCAATCTTTCGGGTAAGTTTTTTCGAGGTAGCTCTCTCGTTGTCTGCAACTCCTCATTCCAATCTCGAGTTTGCCCGGGGATATGCTCTTCGTATCCCAATTTAGAAGAGAAAGCTACAAATGGGAAGAATATACAGTTACTTTAGTACTGATAATTAACACCATTAACGCTTCTCTAGTTCGAAGGAACGTGGGATTCTCGTAAATTTGATCGTATTGTGTTCTGTATAAAATCGAACGTACTATCTTCGGCACGAATCGCGTCGATTGTGTGTTCAATTTGAGGCGCGCACCAAGCATAGAGCTGATACGGCGTGGCCACCCGTTCGAACGGGTGTCTCTGTGTTCTCCGTCTCTGCATAGCGACGAAACCCCGTTTAAACGCCGGGCTGAGTTGGTTCAGTAGTTCAATTAAGCTATGACATAGATGACTTGGGGTCGCCGGTTTCGGATTAAATACTTCTTTTGTCGATTGATTGACGAAGAAGCCCCTGGCGCACGCAGTCAAATAATATTGCTTGTCTTCTAACGTCACTACATGCAAGTATAATAAGTCACCGTGAAGCTTCCTGTGGCCGGGTGGCGGATTCCATCCGGACGTTGTTAATACCTGCGGTTATTAGTCAAATAAAGTATTCGACATGTAGTTGAACCAAATGATACAGAGTCTTTTAATTACTTTCAAACAAGGGGGACATTTCTGTTCTTTGGCTTGCGGTTGTAGAGGTAGCAATGGCCTGTCTTTACAGCCTGGTATAATGTAGTCAGGTGGGGTACAATCGACCGAATCTGCTCTGCTCTTTTTCTTCTCTAGAATGTCACCGTTCGTGACCACGTTTAGGAACGATAAACTACTACACTCGACGCCATTATAAGCGTCAGCAGGATCTACAGACTTCAATAAATCTCGAACATGTCGGACGTGTATACGAGCCTCTCGCATCGTGTACGGTTCTTCCACGACTTTAATCACGGAACCCTCTTTTAGGCCTTCAATGTTCTTCAACTCGGCAAAATTATCCAACGTGTTACCGTCGAGCTGAAGGGAGAAACACGTCCGATGGCAGGTGTCCTCGCGATCCATAAGTAACTGATGGATTTCCTAAATGGCAATAATACAATTTATTTATAACTATCACGCCATAAGCAGGCGCAAATAAATTGCAGGAGAAAATTTCTTATAGGATTGTTACCTGAACCAATTCCATACTGGAGACTTGAATATCAAAGGGTTCGGCACCCGGACTAACGATCTTAACGGTAAATCCCATATCTTGAATAAAAACAATTTCTTGTTCGCTTCCAGCGTCCTTATCACCATCCTCTTTCTCGCATTTCTCAATCTTTTTATCGTTATCTTCATCTTCTTCGTTTTCCTTCTCGCTCCCTTTTTCCTTCGTTGCTTCGACTTCACCCTTCTCGACGACGTTTTTGGAGGCAGTGCTCGAACTTCCGGTTTCCTCCGCGGATTCCTTCATATCTAAACACGCGGATCGAATGAGTGCATAAATGTTCGTTACGAAGATTGAAGTATCACAAAACAAATTAATCCGATTGCGTGAATGGAAGAATTTTTACTAATTGAAAATATCGCATTATTGATAAATGCCTCAAACAAATGAACTAAATATCAGGAACGAATAACATGACAACACTTTTGTCTTTAACTTACATAATAAACACTAAAGAGCTATTCATATATATTTCAATGATTGACAGCCGTTCAGCAAACGATTTCGTCTTTCAAATAACACGCGAATTATACTGGCCTCGGTTTTTTATTCATAGTTGAACTGAACTATTTAGACATAACTGTACAATATGTACTACAAGTGCTTAACAGCAGGTGGGAAAATGTTCAAATGCGCGAGAATTATATTGGAAATTATTCCTTTTGACGATTTTTACATGAAAGACAAAGATTAATTGACGTTACATATGTATAAGCAAGTTTAATTTCAGCAAATGTGGTAAATAAGTGTTGCACAATGCTCGATACTTCTTTCGATTGAAATACCGCTAAATGCCCGCTCCATGCGTATTTACCCTTGACAAGAATAAACGAATAATTGCGCGCACCATTTCCATGGAAACAGGGTACATTTTCGACTAGATACGATGGTGGACATCCGTGGGGCTGCCACTTGCATTCACCAACGCATTTATAAATAAACGGCAATGTAAATAGTCCGTACTCAAATGCCGTACTATTTTTATCTATACCATGTTTGCAATATACATCCATTTCTGGCATACGTCGATCTTAACGAGGTAGTCTGTAATACTAATTAAGATTGACAACTAGGTGGTCCGCTTATCAGTTGCCACCGCGATTCCAAGTCGTATAGGTATGTGACCCGAATGCTTAAACGCGTTAGAAATTGCCAAACCTTGAACTTAATAGTGGTATTCGCTTTTCAAGAATCCGCGTACGTCTATGTATAACAGCTCGGTAATAATTGCATACGAATGTGCAATGATAAATTAAAAATAGTGAACGGATATGCACGTATTCAAAAGCAGACTAATTATAACGAGGTATAACATTAAAATACGATTATAACCGTATGACTGAATTTTTAACTAAAGATAACAAAGACAGTTTTAGTAATGAACGATAGTTGAAGTACTTCTGTACATGTGATATATTCTATTTTCTATGTTCATCATCATTTTTCGAATTATCGTTAGTCAAATTAATCAGAGGTTTCTCTTTTCGTTAAGATTTAAAATAATGTAAATATTTACGTACAATGCGATTATCGATCATTCATCTGCTAAATCATTGAATCTACCATCCAAATCTGATTGCTCATACAAAATGCAAATTTGTCCCGAAAGATAAAGATCGAAAGCGTAAGCTATTACATTTGTGTAAATATTAATATGCCTCTTAAATATTTAACAATTTTCTAGTGATAAAAGTCGTGGTACTTTATGAAAATTACTGATAGCATAAATTAAATTAAATGATCTGATAACATTTCTTTTGTATAGTAACGTTAATACGAAATTAGTGAAAGATAAAAAATTACACAACTAGTATTTTACATTATACTAAACCGTAAAACTATTTAAATTATCTTGACATTCGTGAATGTATATCTTTAATTAATCTTGTTTTATGTTAATAAAGTGCAATTTTATCATGGAAACTTGATATTCGAGTAGTTATGTACATACATAAATGTACTCTAGTATCTCCAACAGAAACCGTGCTGTTTATCTTTCAAGTCAATTGCTTTATCGCTGCCTTATCTTACGTTGTACTACTTCATCTTGAAACTGTTCTCAAGAAGATAAGTAGAAAGATAAAGATGTATCAAAAAATAGTATTTTCCAAAACGATTTCGTGTTTCATATCTCAACTACAAGTTTTTCCTAAACTTCTATCTCTCCAAAACAATTCGAATTGTGTCAAGGACATGTCGAGAAAATAAGTGAATAAATAATATTGTCAAAAACAAAGATTTATGATTCTTATAAATTACAGAATTAGTTCAGGAAACGCTGGAATTAAATCGATGCTTTCATTTGATAAACCTATTAATATAAGTTAATTATGTACGATCTACTAAATATTCTCCAAAATTTTTTTTTTCTACAAAAAAAATTGTGTAAATATTATACATATTTTAATGTTGAAGTTACGTAAAAAGATAAAAGCACTAAAAGGTTAAATATGATCGCGCAATGAAGAAGCGTAATCTCAACGATACGCAAGTAGCAGAATAGGATCACTATACAAATATCGAATTCAACACCAACAATGTAGTGACGAGTACAAGCAGGATGTAAGAGTAGTTAAACAGAGTTGTTACATTCATCAGTGATCATTAATCGAGTTGAATATTAAGAAAAATCTGAGAAACGTTTTAAAACTGCAATTCGTATAAAATACATCATAATATGTATATTTATTTAACCGTTGAACTTTTACAAAGCTCCACTGTTTTCCAAAATCGTGACTTGACAAGATATTTCAACAATTTTAGTATATCAGAAGTAAAGATGTAAGGGAGCGGCACAATGTTAGAAGGAACGATAACCCCTGTTATCAATGATTCCTTGTAATTCACCATTGTTCCTTCGAAGCACGTGACCCTTCATGAAACGTTCTAACATTTTATTTCAAATGATATCTCGTTTACTATTTATTTAATTATATGATTTTAATAAAAACGAAATTAATAGACCATTTTCTTCGACAATGATATTTTAGTTATGCATTCTTAACGATTTCCTCGTTGATACGCCTATGCGCGTGGAGTCATTAACATGCACGTGTTCCCTTTGGTTCTTTTTTCACGAGAAGATTAGCTTTCGAAAAAGGAGCAAACTAATGAAATAGGTCCAGTGTCCCTTGGCAGCGGAAAGTGATCTGCTTTAAAAATCTGTTTTAAATTATACGCACTCGTTTCCCATCGCCTGTTGGACTTTGTAAATGTTTAAAACGCGTTACTACCGAAGGAGGCAAAAAGCGTCTTAAAAGCGAAAGAAAACGCAGTACAATTGTGCAATATACTTTACATAATTCTCATTGTTGGCAGACGCTAGGAGCATGTGTGTAACAATTTCAAATGGACTTGGATATCATGTAATCGCTTGTAACGAAAGTATAATTATTGTCAAATGAAATTGTCCATACGTAAACGATCTACAGTATTATCTGGGCTCAATAATCAGTAATCAATAATCTGAATAACATTTTTCAGTCAATATTTACAAATATAGGGTACAAACTAACTGAATAATAAAAAGCTGGCTACCACATTCCGCCACCAGTGGAAATTTTCAAACGTTAAAATGAGATGTATCGAACTGAATAGTTAAACAGGACAGGTAACATGGTTTCATCATCCAAGGAGAAACTAATCACGTGCTTCCGAGAGATTAATTACCTTCGGAGTATGAAGAAAATTCGTGTAAATTGTTGATGTTGCGAAAATACGGGAAATAACAGTAAACGAAGAGATAATGCCAGAATGCATCGAGTCGAAGGTTCGTCTTCGAAGAAAGAAGCATGTCAAACGATATGTACATGCATTCTTGTGCAACTACTTGCAAAATGGGTAACAAGAATATCCTGAGCCGCGATCGACTGTGATAACCGGATACGACGAACTGCTGAAAATTCGTCTGCTAGCGGAAACGGTGTCTTCTGCTAGTTTCTCCTTTGATAAAACTCGTGGCTTATATGACCCCACGGTACATACATTCGCGCAATTCGCGCGTTACATAACACCAAGGGCCCGGCTTTTGGCTGAGGCGGCATCGTTAAAGGCATACATTAGAACGAACGGAACAAGGTAACCTGATCGAATCATTACATAACGTGATCGGCGGTGTCGTTGAGCGACGGAAGACGGAAAAATCCTTAGCCACCGATTAGAAAATCACCATTTACTAACCAATACTTGATGGTTCCTCATTCCCGTTCAGCAAAGGGATTTTCGTACTCCCATTTTCCATGGAGGCCTCGATCTGTGCGTCCAATGTCATCTTTCTTTAACAACCCCTTTTAAGATTTAACACGATCTTCGAAGCCGGTACGTTCTTGCTGTTCACGGTGACACGCGCGCACACCCCGTAGAAGTTATACCCCAAAAACGACGTCCCGTCTCTTTTCACGAGGCAGCACACCAACTCTGAAACACTCCGAGCCGCTTTTCTCTACCGCACGTGCGTTTCGAACGAAGTACAAAGTCTAATGTGCGCGATTGGTCTTTGGGTCTAGCCAGACGTCGAACCGACGTCTTCGATTGGTATTTCTAGTCACATGAGCCACCCCTCGTTTCTTCCTGAATGATTATCATTCGCCGTTGCCGTTGTATCAAACGCCTCAGTCTCCTTTGAAGTTAGACGTTGTCTGGAACTTCTTTGATTGGTAACAATTGTTAGAAAGAAAATCATTCTCGGGACGTAAAAGTTTCTAGATGACAAATTTCTAACCTTCCGTGCTACCCCATTTAAACAGGTAGCAACTCGCACTTTATTTTAAAACGAACATTACGTGTTATTAAAGAATTACTCATTGACGAACGAAACTGAAGTAAAGAAATCAAAGAATAATTAGCGTTCCATTAAACAAAACTCTGTCAAGTGTTGCGAAAATCAGATTCGAAAATTGGCAGAATGTCGGCAGAAGAACAGACTGATTTGCGTTTAGGACCTGATCCTAATGTCACTTATCCGATACAAGTACAATACTGTGGAAATTGTTCTCTTCCTATCGAGGTAAGACCGTTCCAAACAATCGATGTCCTCTGTTTGTGATATATGTCAAAACGCTAGCATTAAAAATTTTGGAAAATTTCATTTCCATGTTACAGTACTGTGAATACTATCCAGAGTATGAAAAGTGTAAGCAATGGCTAGAAAGAAATCTACCGACAGAATTTGAGAAAGTCAAATTAGGTAATCATCAGCATTATATATAGACCCGGAACATGTTAATTTATATGTATTGCATTGTGTCATAAGTTTATTTTCTTGTTTGACCAGTCGAAGACAATATCACAGAGGCAGGGGGTGGTGAAGATGAAAAGAAACGTCAAAAACGTGGTGGCAAGGGAATGTTGAAGACAAAGAAGAAGGAAGATGTTCCAAGATTGGTGACCGTGTCTAGAGCACCAAGAGGAAAAAAGAAATCAGTTACAGTTGTAACTGGTTTGAGTACTTTCGGTAATAAGATGTGCTCACTTGTACTGATCTTTTATCTCAAAGAAGATCGATTATCATTAAATGAAAGATCATTTTTACTTTATAGATATAGATTTGAAAGTAGCTGCAAAATTCTTTGGTAGTAAATTTGCATGCGGGTCCAGTGTAACAGGAGATGATGAAATAGTTATACAGGGTGATGTGAAGGATGATTTATTTGAAGTAATCCCCGAGAAATGGCCACAGGTAATAATAGCAATTACAATTGTTTTGTCAATAGAAAGTAAATCTGATATTCTTGATATTGAATTCACAGATTGATGAAGACTCCATAGACGATCTTGGTGATCAGAAAAGATAATAAGCCATCCAAATTTTCACTTGCACAACTGTATTTAATACTATACTATTTCCATTTATGGTTATTTTAAATAAAATGTACATAACGTATATAAAATGTTTTTAATGATTTTCGAGAATCAGATAAAATCATTACCCGTCCTTGTCCTCCTGTTCTTCTTCACCTAAATAATTTGCTACCACTTGTAGCAAAGACTCTACGTCTTCATCTGTCAAACGATCTTCACTATCCTCTACTATCTAAAAATATAATCAATTTCTTATTAAAGTGTTCTCCTATTTTCCATTATATATTTAAAAACATATATTACCAATTGTATTTCTAGAGGCGTCTTTGGGGACACGTTAAGAAGGGTCAGTTTCTCGCATTTCGATAATTTAAATGGTTCTAGCGCTTTTAAGAAACCCTTAATTTTCTCAGGTGATTGCTTTTTACATGGAGTCTCTTCCAAATATCTTATAGTCTGATATGTTATTGTTGCTAACTGATTCTGTTTCATTTTTTGTCTTTTATTAGCTTTTATATTCTGCAATATATCCAGGACTTCATAATTGCTCAAGTATGCTGAACATTCGTTCAAACTAAAATCAAAATCAAATTTACTGTGAGAATCTCTTATTATTTACTTAATAAAATGATGATTAACGAAATGACAGTTACTTACACTTCCATGTTAAATTTTTAAACAATGTTTATTGTATAAATTCTCTCTGTTTTTACTATTACACTGTATATAAGGTTATATACGCATTATTATTACTTTTTATATAAACAAGAACGATATCGGTAATTCAAAATATTATTCGAATCATTTGTATTTGTATTAGTATAGGAGTAAAAGCAGAAAGCAGTATACATACGTATGTGTGTTACGTATGGTTTTCTTTTTAACGTGACAAATTTACGCGGGAAGGTAAGCAGGCAAGAATGGGCAAGAAGGTTAGTCAAAGTCCTAACATGGCACAGCGTAGTATAACGTACGTAATCCAACATAAATTACCAATTAAATTATTATTATTAAAGCTTAATACATACTTTAAAGTGTTTGCAATATTCTCTTTTGATTTTTAATACTTTCCACAGGTCATTTTTCGCGAAATCAAGCTCAGAAAATAAAGCTGAATCTAACGGTACAAGGTACGTTGATTACTCTTTTGAATATTCTATCGAATTATATGATTATGTTTAGTCGTATCGCCTTTTATGCGAGATTAACTGTACTCGATAAGAAATTGCCGTGTACAGTTCTCGTAAATGTATCACCATTGAACATAATTTCATTTCCGACAATAAATAATGTTCTTAATTGGATACACATTACTAGCAATGTTAAGGAAGATAGAGACAGTCCGCCAAGTTCTAAAAGGAAAAGAGATGATAGCGAAGATAGCAGTGAAACTGGGAGGTAATAGAATGAAAATGTCAGATCTGAATGTTTTGAATAATCAAATACTTGTTCATTTGCTAGTTCTCCAGCTAATAAAAAATTGGAGAGTCCTTCAAAATCTAAGAAGTCATTGAAAACTCCGTCACCACAGAAGAAAGTAAATGGTAAGATAGATAAGTAATTTATGATATACGATTAAGCTTCATAGATTACTTAATGTTATATTTGTATTTAAGGAACACCAAAAATAAAAATTACTCCTACGAAAACAATTAAAGACACTGAGAAAAGGAGAGCTAAGACTCCGCTTACTGCTTCGAAGAAGAAGCAGAAAATCACCGATGTAGAAGATACTCCCAAAAAGGTCAGTACAGAACGAAAAAGGAAATTAGATGAGGAAGAGCAAAAAGAAAATAGCGCAGACAGCGCAGAACATAAAGCAGAATCAGATGCAGAAGTAAAATCTGAGGAGACTTCACCCGATGAATCTATTAACAAAAAGGAAATAAAGCCTAAGAGGAGAACTAGACAGAGGAGGAGAATATCATCATCAGATGTCGATGAGAAAGAAAAAACTCCACCCAGTAAGAAACAAAAAACTCCACACAGTAAAACTGAAAAATCTCCGTCCAATAAGAAAGAAAAAACTTCACCTAGAAGGGAAGAAGAGTCTAATGAGGAAGACTTAAAAGAAGATGAGGAAGAAAATAAGAGAGAGGAAAAAAAGGTAGATGACAAGAAACAAAATAAGAAAGAGGAAAAAGAAGTAGATGATGAGAAAGAAAATAAGGAAACGGAAGAAAGTGTAGATAATTCTCCTAAGAAGATGCACAGTTTTTTCTCTCCGAAGCAGAAAGGCAATGTAAAGAATAATAGCGGAGATAAGAAAAAGTCCGATAGTCATTCGTACAATCCCAGTGCCTCAAAGTACGATCCGATTAAAGACGCTTGCTGGAAACAGGGTGAAAAAGTGCCATACGTTGCGTTAACACGCACATTAGAACTGATCGAGAACACAAGCGCTCGATTGAAAATAGTAGAAATTTTGTCAAATTACTTTCGGTCAGTTATCGTTCTAAGTCCAAATGATTTATTACCAAGCGTATACCTGTGTCTCAATCAACTCGCGCCTGCTTACGAAGGGATTGAATTGGGTATAGCCGAAACGTATCTCATGAAAGCCATAGCACAGTGTACCGGTAGAACTTTAGCGCAAATTAAAGTGGACGTACAGGAGGTTGGTGATTTGGGTATTGTAGCAGAAGGGAGTCGTTCCAATCAGAGAACAATGTTTCAACCCGCGCCGTTAACAGTATCGAACGTATATACTAGACTGAAAGAAATAGGTCAAATGACCGGTTCTGCGTCAATGACCAAGAAGCTGGATAAAATTCAATCACTTTTTGTAGCATGTCGTTTTACTGAAGCTAGGTATCTGATTCGCTCGTTGGCTGGCAAACTTCGAATCGGTCTAGCGGAACAGTCTGTATTGCAAGCTATGGCATTAGCGTGCACGATGACTCCACCAAATCAGGAGTTTCCGCCAGAAATGTTGAATGTGAGCAAATCACTTTCAAGCGATGCGTTCAAACAGAAATACGATGAGACTGCTCTTATCATTAAAACGACATACTGCGAGTGTCCAAATTATGATAAAATAATTCCTGTTTTACTTAAAGAAGGAGTTGATGAGTTACCGAAAAAATGTAAAATTACACCTGGAATACCTATGAAACCTATGTTAGCGCATCCTACTAAAGGTGTACAAGAGGTATTAACGCGTTTCGACGGATTGAAGTTCACATGCGAGTGGAAATACGACGGGGAAAGAGCGCAGGTTTAACAACTCAAGTAACATAATATAAAACGTAAGATTTTGTAAGGGATTTAACCACGAGCATTTTACAGATTCATCTTTCCAAGGATGGAGATATTAGTATTTACAGTAGGAATCAAGAGAATAACACTACTAAATATCCGGATGTTATAAACCGATTTAAAAATACCCGTAGTGACAAGGTTGAAAGCTGTATCCTAGACTGTGAAGCAGTTGCTTGGGATAACGAGAAAAAACAAATTCTACCTTTCCAAGTACTTAGTACGAGAAAACGGAAGGTAAAGTATAATAATTAATAAGCTACTTCAAAAGTTTCATTATCTTTTTGTCACAGGATGCAAATGAAGCAGATATTAAAGTCCAAGTATGCGTGTTCATGTTTGATCTTCTGTATTTGAACGGAGAGCCGCTTGTGCAACAACCTTTCATAAAACGTCGTGAATTGCTAAGAGAAAATTTCAAGCAAGTAGAAGGAGAATGGAAGTTTGCCACAAATTTGGACACGACGACAATGGAACAAGTGCAAGACTTTTTAGATGAATCGGTCAAGGGTCAGTCTACTTTCTTAATAAAAAATGATTTATTTGACAATCTATATATTGTAATATTTAATAGGTAATTGCGAGGGACTTATGGTGAAGACTTTGGAACAAGAGGCAACATACGAGATTGCAAAGCGTTCGCGAAACTGGTTAAAATTAAAGAAAGATTATTTGGACGGTGTGGGTGATACGATAGATGCAGTTGTCATTGGTGGTTATCTAGGAAAAGGGAAAAGGACCGGAACTTATGGAGGATTTCTGTTGGCTTGTTACGATCAAGAGAATGAAGAATATCAAAGTATTTGCAAAGTAAGCGTCATTAATTTAGTACTTTGTTCAATCGTGATGAACTTAAATTTTAACTTTCAAGTTTGGATTTTATTTATTTTAGATCGGTACAGGATTCAGCGAAGAAGATCTTCAGAAGCATACTGAATTCTTTAAGGAACACATAATACCGCAAACTAAATCTTACTATCGTTACGACTCGTCTCTCCAACCCGATCACTGGTTCGAGCCCGTTCAAGTTTGGGAGATTAAATGCGCTGATCTGTCATTGTCACCTGTCCATAAAGCAGCCGTCGGTATTGTTGATCCAGAAAAAGGCATATCTTTGAGATTCCCGAGATTCATTCGTATTCGTGACGATAAGAACAGCGAGGAGGCCACGTCTGCTCAGCAAGTCGCAAATTTATATAACAGCCAGGAGCAGATAAAGAATCAGTCAACATCGACGAAAGTTACTGAAGAAGATTTTTATTAAATACTTCAATAAAGGGAGAGAACTAAATTATTTTTTAATCTACATAAAATAAGATTTTTATTATCAGATAGAACTTTTTATAATTGAACACATGAATATATTATGTTTTGTACATAAATAGATAAAGAATCTCTCAGTTCATCCATATAATATTCAATAAAATTCAACTTACTACATTGGAATCTGCTTTCTTTATTTAACTAACAAATAAGAATTTGACTGTACCTTTCGGATGTAGCGTTCGGTATGATCGTTTGAATTTCTAACCTCGTTTCTTCACTCGAACACAATGAAAGATGATCGAGTAATAACAACAGACACAATGAATCAGAAGTTATTTTATAATACTGTGTTGTCGCAAACGTTTTCCCCGGATGGAAATTACTTGTTAGCTGGAAATATATACGGGGACGTATCAGTGTTCGAGTAAGTAAACAATTTGATAAGAAAACATAGGTTATCCGTGAAAGTGAAAAGCTGATCAATTTGCTATACGATAAGTATTAAACAAGATAACTTTTCATAGATTATCAAAAGCCTTGGGAGTTCATAAAGGAGAAGAAAATGAGTTACAAGGGCCCAACTATCAGTTTGCTGCTCATCTTAATCAAGTGGAGAGTATGGTTTCGACAGACAATTTTTTAGTAACAGGAACATCAGGTGAAATTTGTGGATGGGATTGGAAAATAGTTACTTCAAGTAAAGCACCAAAGAGTAAAGTTTCATGGACTATACAACTGCCAGTCAACAAGTAAGATTAACTAACAAAAGCTTAGATGAATAATGTCTAAATTACATTGAACGTTTGCCATTTCAGGGACAGCTATGAGAAACCAGATGTTAATTATTTAGTATATTCCAAAACAAGCAACCTCTTGTATGCCGGTTGTGGTGATAATAATATTTACGTAATTACTTTGGAAGATGGTAGAATACTCAGAACTTTAGAAGGACATACTGACTATGTCCACTGTCTTTCTTTAACGTATGTATTATTTAGTTATTGCCAAATGATAGTTCATAATATTTTTCTCTAATAAATTTTATTGTATATTTCAGAGGCAATCAACTAGCTTCATCTGGTGAAGATGGAACGGTCAGGTTGTGGGATTTGCGAAAGCGGGAAAATACTAATATATTAACGCCTCATTTAGTAGAGAAAGTCGCCAGGCCAGCCTTAGGCAAATGGATTGGCGCTGTGGACTTTACAGAAGATTGGCTGGTAAGTACTTGCATTCTTTTTGTGTATGCATTTTGGGAAAACTGATAATATCTGGAATTCATTACATTCAGTTATGCGGTGGCGGTCCAAGTTTATCTTTGTGGCATATGCGTACGATGGAAGCAGCCACCGTGTTCGATCTTCCCGACGAAGGTATTCATGTAGCGAATATCTACGAGGAGCGTGTAATAGCGGCTGGTGCGGCACCGCATGTGTACCATCTGACTTACCAAGGAGACATGTTAGCCAAAGTGCCGACATCCAGCAACACCGTGTGCAGCATCGTTTATCAGGAAACACCGCAGAAAGTATTCAGTATAGCTGGTTCGTCGAACAATCTCGATGTTTGTACGAACTTTAATTACCGCGAATTAATGTTAAGGTTTGCATAATAGAACGAAACAGGATGAATGTATATGATTCGTGAAAGAAAACAATCTCATTATTTATACATATACTTTTAATAAATATATTATTACAATACGCCTTTTATAAAACTTGATGTAAAACTTTTTACAAATGTACAAACGTCTATTTGTGGGTCGTGATTAACATGGTCTATCAGAGACGATTGGCTAGCCGAGGCCATGCCGTGTTAAAGACTGACGTAGGGATACTTTTCGGAATGATTTCGAGCATCCAACTAAATTTGGAATAGTAGTGTAATAGTCACAAAAAGCCGTGGCCCGCGATCACAGCAGGTATAAAACCTTCTCTACCGTCCCGTGAACGAACCCAAAACCAGTCGCTAACGTGATCGCTTAGAAGAGCAACGACGTCCCCTTTGGAAACGCTCAGAGCGTTTCCACCTTGACCCTCGTAATCGCTACGTATAACGAGCAAAGTATGCCGAGACCCTTTGGTCCGAGCATTCGCTGCGGCTCTAAGGTACAGCCTGTCAACGCTGCGTTCACCACACGTAGACACCGCGTCCCTAGAACTTCTCCTCATCCTTGGATTTCTGCCTCGAGCTCCGCACTCTGACCTCGTGTCTCTTAGCTTTTCCGTGTCGGTCATGTTCCCTAAAAGAATTGCGTTACCTCGAAAAGCGTTCGACTTCGCGTGGATTAATCCTGTTCGTAGAATAAAAATATCGAAATTGTTAGAAATAAATCGACAAGATCACCTAGTGGACGAGGAAATACGTCTGTCGAATCCTCCCAACAAGGGCCCCTTGTTGGTTGCGGTAATATTCCTAACGGTAGACAAGCTGCATATCCGACGTACCCTTCCTGACCGTGCGGCGTTTGAACGTACAACCAGGTTTGATTCTTGAATACGGCGTTTACGACAGTTCCAAGAGGAAGAGCCATCTCATCTTGGGTACCGCCTTGAGTCTGGTACAGGACGGATGGGAAAGAAAGAACCACGGGTATGTTCGCGGGTTTTTCTATCGATGCCTGTAAATGTATTAAACAGATAATATTCCATTTCCGGAAGAAAGGCAAAGCAAATAATTAGATAAATAATGACAAATACCTTAGTAAGGAACGCGTCAATGTCTGCGATCTCGTAACCGAATCTGCTGGAAGGCCTGGGCTTGTGAGATCGTTTGGTTCTTCGATGCCTGTGCTTTTCCCGGCCACTAGGCGTGGACGTTGACTCACGAGAGACGAGAGACGGTTCGGACACTGTCCTCTTAACTTTCTCCTTCTCCTTTGCCTCCTTCAGCCCTGAGAATTCCTTCTCGGACTGCTTGTCCAACGGACTGTCCAACGATCTCTCGTTGACCAATATCTCCTTGACGGGCTGCAAGAAACGTGTAAACGTTAACGTCAACGCAAACGTGTTACGTTCTTCGTCGAGCCAGCAGCGTTGTTAAAAAGCAAACCTTTTCTTGTATTTCCTTCTCCGTCCTCTCGATCTTGTCCGTTCTATGCAGAATCTTCTTCTCCCGCTTCTCCGCGTGGACGTTCTCCTTGCCGACATCCTTTTCCTTCACGCTTTTCACGCTCTTCTTCGAGGACCTTTCCTTACTGTCACGCGACAAGCCCTCTCGATCGCCGTTCTCACCTGAGACAAAGATGACGTTGTTTTTAAAACGAACGAAATTACGAATGACTCGCGATTCCACTATAATCGAGGAGGTTCGTTGATATCACGATTAAAATTGCTGATTGACGACAAATTGTATTCTCACTCATACTTCCACGGACCTGCGTTTCCATTTGCGGTTGCGTGACCGTTGTTGGAGGCAGGTTGCTGCTGGCCGCGGAGGACCCAGGTCAGAGAGATCTTGGGTCGCAACAGGGTGCTTGGCCGTTGCCCCATGCTCCTCGGCGTCGTGAGAGGCGTCGAGGGCGTCGCGGGCGTCGGCGTTCTGGCCGGTGACGGCGACCTCGATGGCGTTACTACCTGCAAAGGACAATCCGCCACCAGGTCCACCGTCTGCACCGAAGAGCCATGTTCCTATACGAGAGAATAAAAAAATAAACATAGAATAAAGAAGCTCAAAGCTCTTTAGCGTGTACGATAAACTTATAAATTTCAACATCCGCAGATACAACGTACGCGCTTATGTACCTTCCTCCTTTCCTTTTTACAAAACGAATACACGTCATGTTAACTGTTTGAGATAAGCAGCTCGGAACGAGCACCGCGTGTGCCTCTAACAAGGTGAATGTAAACAGACGATACTGTACGGGAAATGAGCGCTATTCAAGGGACTAGTTTGCGTTACAGAAGTGCACTTCCCTTTTACAAGAGATAAATAGAATGACTACCGACTGTCAAGAGTTCGTGAATAATCAAACGTGGCCTCGGCTCAGAAGTCGAGGCGCAGCCTGCGGATGATTCAGAAATCGAGACAGGAGGCTCGTTACGGCCACCGTTCCGTTCAAGCAATTTCGACGACTGCTAAACGAATTGTTCACTTCATTACAACGACTTAACGTCCACAGATAAATCTTTCGCTGTCGTTACACATTTTTAGAATCGATATTTCGCTTATATTACTTCATCTCCGTTAAGTTAAACGTTTGAACCTACGGCGAGCCAGCCGCGTGTGTAATTAAAGTAATGAAGTACAGACGTAAAATACGATACACGCACATTTATTTGAGAAAAATTAACGATCCACGAGAATCGCAATCTTCTACTGGTATATAATTACAAGACGCAGGATACCCGTACAATTTTGCGACAGTTAAGATCAGTGGTGCACGTGCGTGTCGCTGTTTCCACGAACCCGATTATTAATTTGTCTCATAGGCGTTCAATTAGTCCGCGGATCTCGAAACGATTTAGGTATTCGCGAGCGAGTATTGCGCTTTACCACAGCGGGGAAATTTATGACTGTCGCCTCGTATAAATAGCGAGCCTCTGGCCACCGTGAAATTTACGAACGACCGCCTCTGGCCGGCTCGTAAAATTACTAAGTCGCCGTCTTCCTTCTTTCCATCTCGTTCGTTTTCATAAGAGACAATGAATCCCGGAAGCAAGCAGTTTGTACCGCGAGTAGAACCACAGCGGTTGAGCAATTTTACGATCGCAACAGTTAAAACAGTTAGAAATATCAGCGGTGATTATGGAAGGAATTATGTATACACGTTTTGATAAAATTTGCTAAATAAAATTTACGACCTCTCAATAATAGCAGAATCATCACCGGAGGCCAATCTAATTCTATTATGAGAACAGTTTCTAAAAAAGACGGTGCAAGAAAGGAATATCGGCGGGCACGTTCCCCTTAAACGATTCGACTATCCGTGCAATCTTTCAGCACCGTTTCGAGCTCGCGTGGACCGATCTCTGAAGATATTTCGCGCCGTGGCACGGACTCAGGGTTCGCAAACGCGTTCCTATGAATTATTGCACCATTAACGTGAGTAATCGCGCCGGCGGGAAAATTATATAGTAATTTGTTCACGGCTGATCGAATACGTCGAGGATTTTTTATATTCTCTCTTTTGCGAGAGGGGTAATGAAACGGGCCAGTCCCGAGGGGAAAAACGCGTTTCAACCCCGGGACCCGTGGCTAGCGGCTATGAAAAATGAAGACGTTTCACCTGGCCGCTTTTGATTTTACGCGCTGAATGGACCAGCTAAGTAGCCATTCGGACGTCGTTATAATTTATACGTCGCCCTTTGTGTTACGCACTCCCTCTGATGATCGGTTGACCGATTACCCCCTCGACGACTCTCAACACTATTTGTAGAACAAAACTTGTGGCCATATAAACAAGTATAAAGAATTAAAACAGATTTACGGACACCCGATGAGTATCCTTCAGAGGAAGTTGAAACGCGAGATTGGAACATCTGTTTCGTTGCATTAGCCATGTTATGTGACGAAGATAAAGATTCGATTTTTATCTGGAGTTATTAAAAACAGTGTCGCGAGTTAAGGAAGGATTAACGTAGAACGTCGCGTCAACATCGGAGGGACAAGAAGAAAGAGCAGGGTCCGGTTTAAGTGACAGAAAGGCTGGGCTGTGGCGCGAATGAACACGCGAAGGTAGCCCCGGGTGACAAGTTAAAAAGGGGAGGGACGGCGCGAGCCACGACCAGCCTCGGATCATGCTAATGAAATTCTCAAGATATCTATCTCGCGCGCCACTGTGCGCAGGGCATTAGTTTAGCGTCTTGCTCGCGGCCACCTCGATCTTATCTGTCCGCCTTCAGACGCGCGGTATCAATTTTCCCTGGAACGTGAAACGTACTTACGAGGATCGTCACCCAATTCACGCTAACGATTGTATGCTACCGGCGAACTTCCTCGGTTTGTCTCACAATCAGCTTCACAGATGGAGAATCGTGGGGGTAGTTTTAATTTTGACGGAGGAGACTCTTGAATTTTCAATCTCAATTTTTTCGATAAAATACTGTAGCGTCATTGAGATAATTCGATAAATGAAAAATTCAAGGAAGAGGAAGCGTGGTAATAATTAGAAATCCGTTAATAGCCGTGCCGGCTTGATAGTACGATTCGGTGCCATCAAAGGATCTCAATGGCATGAGAAGTGGCTAAGTCTGCGGCAGCTACGTCTTCATATTCATTTCTATGCCGTGACTCGTCGATTTCATTTTCTGCGTCTTCAGCTTCGTTATTGTGAGAATGCCGCGGCGCGTTGATTCAAAGATCATCGACTGAGGCGCAATGATGAACGAGCATCGCGTTCTTTTTGTACAAGAAGCCGATTAATGTGGCTTCTTGTAGTCACGTGTTATAGTGTTAGATAGGAGACTACAAATACCGCGTATCCACCCTTACAGGATCTATTCCCGTTCTCTACACAGACTCCGTCTGTTTATATTCTCTCGTTCTGTTAGGCTGGTGTATATTAAATGTCGTTTTCTTTTTCTAGTTAAGAATCATTTATCAAAGTCGCAGGTTCCGTGCATAAAAATCAAAATAATTACATATAAATTGGAGAGCATGTACTTCGGTTCCTTATAATATTTCCAAAAAATCATCTATATAACATCCCTTTAAACCATCGTTTCTCTCCGAACGGGGAAGTTTTACGGCAGGTAATAAAAGA